AAAAATAGTTTAAATAATGTAAAAAAACACACACCTCCTAATCTTACTAATGCATGCTAATGGGAATATAGAAGTGCTTAATAGGAAAAGGGTTATGTTGTATATGGCTTGTGGCGAGTGAATTGGTTGAGAAGAATATGTGCTCGATTTGTGAATGTAGTGTATTAAAGTGCTTAGGAGGGTTAGTCACTATTTCTAAATGCATCTTACTCGTCCCTTAGCCTACATTACAACTTTAAAGTCCTAATTGATCTTAGATTTGGCTAGCTTAGATTAGTAGAGATGTACACTACGGGCAAGCTTATGGTACGACAACGGGATGCACATGAATTCTTTATGAGAGTGAACGCATTTTGTCAATTGTGTGATGTCTTTAAATTATGTTCAAAGGCATACTTGAATGTGTGGCTATGCTATATTTGCTCTTTTGTTTGTTGGTGAGGGCACATGATCTCATGAAGGATTGGTAATGTTGTAAAATTCTTTTGTTGGGTGAGTGCACGAGTTGAGGGTGCTTAGTGGTAACGAGTCGGCTCTTGAGGTAGGGTGGTGACGGATAGGTTGTTTGAATTGATTGAATTGAAATGTTATACTTGGTCATGTTTAAAACGAGAAGAATGTGAAATTTGTATGTTCGTGCTTGATTGTCGGTATCGATCATAGTCAAGGGTAGGGTGCATGGTTAAAAATTGAAGTGCTCCTCTCTAGTTGAGATGTGTAGGTTGTTGGGGTATAGCTGATAGTCTCATTGCTCGAGGACGAGCAAGAGTCTATGTGTGGAGTGTTGATATTTAGGTTAAAGTATATATATATTTATATGTATATCGCCTCATATTTTACTTGTGTTTCGTAGATTTCAGGTGTGTAATGTATTGATTTATGCTAATTCGTGGTGTTTTTATATGTTCGATTAATTAGCAACCATGAGTGAATTGTATGAAAGGAAGAGTTAACTAGAGCACAATAGGATTGGTGAATCGATCACAACCCTGGAATATTTGTCTCTACTGAATACACAATAATCGTTTTGATACTTGATAATTTAGTTACTGGTTAGAATTATTGTTTAGTATAATCACACTTTTGAACTCTGATTGACTCGACTGAATAACAATCTTGGTGAATTAAGTGGGTAGTTAATACAAGTCTCTGTGTGTTCAACACTCGACTTATCATTTTATTACTTGTACGGCCACGTATACTTACATGTGCGTTTGGGAGCAACAGTGTGTGTGTGGGTGCGCGCGCGTGTGTGCGTGTGTGTGTATTGTTAAATATATGTAGATTGTAAATAACAATAATTTAACAACAATACAGACCGAAATCGGTCGCTAAATTAATAATAATTATAAACAATAATTTTTGTTATGGAAAAAAATAATTGACCCTGCGCGGGAAAAAATAAATTAAAATTTCTCACTGATTTTGGTCGGTATGCTTGAAAGTTTTTAATTAAACTTTTTTTGTAGATAATATGCAAGTATGACCAGGTCTTGGTCAAAGATTGACCAATTTTCGACCGACATTGGTCGAAATTTTATATGTATCAGAAGTAGCAATTGTGGGACCACTTTTTCCAACCGATGGTGGTTGGTATCTTTGTGTGAAATTTTTTTCTTTCACTTTACCGATCAATTTACCTATTTTCTGATCGATTTCGGTCGATTTCCTCTTCGACCCATTTCGATCGGTATGTTGTGGACGGTTTTTGGCAATTTTCTAGTAGTGTGACAGTGTTTTAAAAGGCGAGGGCGTGTGGCGAGGCGTTTTACTTAATACGGGGCGAGGCGAAAGCCTTGAGACATGGTGCGTAAGCCCCACTGATCTTTAATTTTTTAAATTTATGAATTAATAATATAGTATTATAACATAATAAAATATAAAAGATGCATTAAAAGTTCAAAAAAACTAAAAAGAATTAAAGAAACTCATATAAAATCAAATATTTAACATGTTTTATAAGTATAACTAATACAATATTATTAAAGTTACTATGAAATATAAATTAACTCCAACCTCTTAACTTTCAAACAATTAAAAATTATAATTTCTTAAAATATATTATCAAACTGCATATTTTACCTTTTTAAAAGTAAATACACAATAAATTTTTCAATATTGTAATCTAAACTATTACTCCTTCATGAATAAATATGAAATTATTTTTGAAATAGTAAAATAAAAATGTATGATAATTTTGAGAGACATAGAACTAAGACATGAAGATCTTCAAGTAAAGATATAAATTTTGGTTATCTATATTTAGAAGAAATACTCAAATGATATTCACCCTCACGATGTTCTCAATTAGCAAATATACAATAATATGTTTGGTTATTTGAGTTATTCATAATTTTCATATTTCTATAAATAAAAAGAACTTTAATCATTCATTTGTTAAAGAATTTTGAAAGTTAACAGTGCAAATTAGTCAATTCAACACATGTAGGAACTATTGGGCGAGTCCCGAGCGTTGAGTGTTAGGCGTGTTTAGGGAGCACTGTCGAGCGCTTGGGGTCGTAAGCCTCACACATAAGTCTCAAGACGTTTTGATAGTGCCCCGCCCCGGGGCGAGCCCAGAAAAACCTTTTAAAACAGTTGTGAGGTAGCACTATATCGTTTTTTATTTTTTTGAGTTCGCGTTTCTCTTAACTTTTGAGAAGAAAGGGGTAAATTCCAAATATCACCCTTCTATATTCAGATGCAGAATTCCAACATTGCGGCGGCGCGCATTTGATTTGGACTAGAAAATGTAGATTAATATGTTTTGCTGTCTTAGTCTGTTGTAGATATATTTCAATTGGCTGATGCACCCCGCACTTTGAAAATCTTTTTTTTTTTAAAACAACATGTTGGATCGTCCCATTTCTTTAACCAAAATATTACTACAAAGTTCCAGGAAGTTGCTGCCGAAAGTTGCACGCAAGATTTCTATATATATAATTGCCATCTATATATTAAAATACATAAGCTTTTATCTAGCTAGCGTCAGAGATATTGAAACTTCTCGTTTATAGGAAGTCAAAACACGGCAGTGCACCATGTATAATATAACACTTTGCTTTATAGCAGTATTACAAATTAGTAACAGGTTATTTGTAGTGCTTTAATTCCTTCAATGAAGAATGGAAAAAAACCTCTTCATGTAGTTATGTTCCCATGGCTAGCCATGGGACATATTATACCTTTTTTCCATTTATCAAAGTGCATAGCACAAAGAGGCCATAAAGTAACCTTCATTTCCACTCCAAGAAACATTGAGAGATTAGATAAGGTTCCCTCTGATATTGCTCACCTGCTAAATATTATTAGCATTCCTTTGCCTAAAGTCGAAAACTTACCAGATCATGCTGAATCCTCAATGGACATACCTTATCAAAAAGCTCAGTTCTTGAAAATTGCTTTTGATTTGCTCGAAACCCCGTTAATCACTTTTCTTGAAAATTTATCAGACCCGAAACCAGATTGGATTGTTTATGACTATGCATCTCACTGGCTACCTCAACGTGCACGCGACTTAGGCGTCTCGTGTGCTTTCTTTAGTCTCTTTACAGCTGCAACTATGGCCTTTTTTGGACCTCCTCAGGTTTTGCTTAACGATGAAAGGTCAATACCTGAGGATTATACAGTTCTTCCGAATTGGATTCCTTTCGAAACAGACGTTAAATATCGACTGCACGAGATTAAGAAGAACTTTGAAGCACCAGCAGATGAATCTGGTATATCTGATGGAGCCAGATTTGGTGGTTCAATAGATGGAAGTGATGTTGTGTTGTTTAGAACTTGTGTTGAGTTTGAACCTGAATGGTTCAACTTGGTTTCTGAGCTTTTTCAGAAACCTGTCATCTCTATTGGTGTTCTTCCTCCATCTGTAGAAGATTTGGGCCGCAGCAGCAATGATACAACATGGCTAAGTATTAAAAAATGGCTAGATATGCAAAACCAAAGTTCTGTGGTGTATGTTGCACTTGGAACTGAAGCAACACTGAGTCAAACTGAGCTGAATGAGCTAGCTCTGGGGTTAGAAAAATGTGGATTGCCATTCTTTTGGGTAATAAGAAATCAGCCAAAACTGAATCAAGAAGAGCCACAAATTCTTCCTGATGGTTATGAAGAGAGAGTTAAAAACAGAGGTATAATTTATAGAGGTTGGGTTCCACAGGCCAAGATATTAAGTCATTTATCGGTAGGCGGATTCTTGACTCATTGTGGATGGAATTCGGTCATAGAAGCGCTTTGTTTCGGGCGGGTTTTGATTATGTTCCCAGTGATGAATGACCAAGGATTGAATACTAGGTTGTTGCAAGGTAAAGGGGTTGGTGTAGAGATATCAAGAAATGAAAATGATGGATTGTTTACTAGTGAATCTGTGGCTGAAACTGTGAAGTTTGCTGTGGTGAGTGAAGAGGGAGAGACATTGAGAGCCAATGCTAGACAAATGAGAGGTTTGTTTGGAGATTGGAATAAAAATGGAAGTCTTATTGATGATTGTGTTGGTTATTTGATGGAAAAGAGGGGACAAAAGTATTCTAGCTGAATAATCTTTGGCCCCAAAAAAAAGGAGAGAATAATCTTTATGATATTTTTCGATATATTTGATGTTTAATGTCCTTCTCTTTCTTTCATGTAATAGAAATAGATATGTGGACAAAAATCGAGTTAAAATTCTTTTTGTTCCACTTTTCTTCCTCCTCCTTCAACCATGTAATATCGTGGACAATAAGACGATGTTAAAATAGATGTTATAATCAAATTAAGTACTAGTATTATTTTTTCTTTTATTTTAAATTAATATCCAGTTCGCTTATATGATATTCTTTTGGTATTTTTCAAAATATTTGGCTCCCACTAACGATATATAACTTTATTAAGAGTTCAAATTCATTGCTAATTCATTTTAGAAAATGAGTGAAGAAGGGAAGATGACGGGTGAAAATAAATTTCAGAATTTATTAGTTGGAGCTCGGTTAAAAAGCAATGTCGTGTATGACTTATAATGTCATTTGTTTAAGCAAACTTTTAACGAAAATATGGATAATTAATTTCGCAAACTTTTTCCTTGATACAACATAATATAATATATGCATTTCATGTCAAAAATTCCTCTCTTCTTTTTTTCTTTTTTTTTTTAAAATAGAAAACAACAAGAAGATAAATGTACATCACTGAAAACGATTTGTTTTTCTCCCTCGTCCTATGCCTTGTCAGTCCTTAACTGTGCTCCATTTGCTCGCCTAATCTGTTGGTCAAAGCCGACTACACGACTGGCACTTTGTAAGCCCTTATTCTCCATATCCTTCGCTACATTTAAGTGGTTTCATTGAAGACCCAAGTGGGATAGTTGGAGGTTCCACTAGTCCTGTGCCCGCAAATTGTTCGACCAAATGCTCAGCAGGAGCTCTTGCATGTTTTCTACCACCCGTGAGACCCTTCCTTGGTCTTCATCCACATATCCCATCTCACAGAGTAGTAGTCCCAGTACAGCTGCTTCTGAAATACCTTCTTCAAGTCTTGGAAGAAGAGGGAAAAGAGTTGTTTTCATGGCTGTTCGTATTAACAGAATTAACCACAGAAAACTCCCAAAGAACCTCAGAAATCCTCGACGACCCAAGCTTCCACCAGACATGGACTATAGCTTCAAAAGGGTCTTCATCGAGGATGCTGACGAGATTACTCAGCAGCCAACTATTGATACTTCCACTGCTGCTGATGAGGAAATTGATGAGGATTTGGAAGTGGAAGTAGAAGAGACTATATGGGAGTCGGATGAGATGGAAGCAATTTCATCTCTTTTCAAAGGGAGGATTCCTCAGAAGCCTGGAAAATTGAATAGAGAAAGGCCTCTGCCTCTGCCCCTTCCTTACAAGATTCGACCTTTAGGACTTCCTACACCAAAGAGATTCTCAAATGTTTCAAGGCAATCCATATCAAAGCAAGTGTACAAGAATCCAACTTTCTTGATTGGTTTGGCCAAAGAAATTCAGGGCCTTTCAAAAGAGGAAAATGTATCAAAGGTTCTAAGTAAGTGGGGTCCCTTTCTTCGAAAAGGATCATTATCATTGACAATCAGAGAGTTGGGTTACTTGGGACTTCCTGAGAGAGCTCTACAAACATTCTGTTGGATGAAGAAACAACCCCATCTTTTCCCGGATGATCATGTTCTCGCTTCTACCATTGAAGTCTTGGCGGGGTCAAACGAGCTAAAAGTGCCTTTTGATTTGGATAAGTTCACTGGCTTGGCCAGTCGGAGTGTGTATGAAGCAATGTTAAGGGGTTTTATCAAAGGAGGAAGCCTGAAACTTGCTTTGAAGCTTCTCTCAATAGCTAAGGGATGTAACAGAGTGCTTGGTACTGGGGTGTATGCTAAGCTAATATTGGAGCTTGGTAAGGATCCTGATAAAAGCACACTTGTCTTGGCATTGTTAGAAGAGCTTGCTGCGAGAGATGATCTGGATTTGACACCACAAGACTGTACAGCTATCATGAAAATTTGCATTAGGCTAGGAAGATTCGAGATTGTGGAGGGATTATATGATTGGTTCAGGAAATCTGGTGGCAATCCAAATGTAGTTATGTATACTACTCTAATTCACTGTCGTTATTCGGCTAACAAATATAGGGAGGCGTTAGCCATGCTATGGGAAATGGAGGCTTCAAATTGCCTTTTTGATCTTCCAGCTTATCGTGTAGTGATTAAGCTCTTTGTTGCTTTGAACGATGTCTCACGGGCTGTACGCTATTTCTCTAAACTTAAGGAAGCAGGTTTTGGTCCAACATTTGATATATACTGCAGCTTGGTTAAAATTTATATGGCTTCTGGAAGGATGGCCAAGTGTGAAGATATCCGTAAGGAGGCAGAGATGGCTGGATTCAGGTTGGACGAACATAGAATGTCAAAGTTGCAACAGTAAAATTTGTGTATCTTGCGGTGTTTTTTACTTGTACTTTAGAGTTCCTGCTGTTTAAAGTCACACCTTTATCCCACCCCTCTACTCACTTGCATAGTTAAAGCATTGTAACTGGTGGCAACCATAGGTTCTTGTAATATTTTCTTTTCCACCTTAGGTCTGAATAATGCTAATTTTGCAATAGAATTTTTCTTGAAAAGTGTATTTGCTTTAGGGATTTTTTCCTTCCTATACCATATATGAAACTTTATTACCAAATATGTGCATAGTATCTAAATTACCCGCCTAGTCCACATTTTTCCTACAATTTCTGTACCATTCGTTTATTAGGTATTAAAAGGGCAGAATATTCCCTTAAAAACGCGCTAAAAATCAGGAAAGAATCTTGGGATTGATTGATTCTACATTAAATTCAATTTTTGAAACGGAAAGGAGATTTCTCATCTGCGTATTTTTCTCTTAAACTACAATTCAAAAATTAAAAAAAAAAGTACGAACAGCTTCAAAAAGTACGAACAGATTCAACTATGAACAGCTTCAACAAACTGAATTCAAATTGTAGAATTCAAATCTTCGAGATTCAACAACTCAAAATTGCTATATTATGTTCTTCGTCGTTTTCAGAAATCAAATTGTCGATCATATATCTATTATTCATCTTTTTTTTCTCTCAATCTAGAAATCCAAAAAAACGAAAAAATTTAGAATGATATGGGGGTTCGTCTGTATATGGAGACCAAAAAGGAGAATAAAAATTTAGGTTCATATCCGTTATGTATAAGTGTACGAGATTTCAATATGGAATTGGCAATCACCAACGATAACACAAGTGCAGGTTTGTATAGTTCGAAATTGCATAGAATTATGATTTTACGGTATTATCTACAAAATTACTACATTTGCCTACAATTAAACTACAAATCAGTTTAATGAAAGAATAAAGCAATGTTGTTTTCAAAATTATCTACAAAGTTACTACATTTATACGACAAAATAAAATACAATCTATGATTAGAAATTGTTGATTTCAAAATGTCTGACATCCTAAAATGGATGATTACAAAATTTTTACTATATCTACAAATTATCTACAATTGAAATGGGAATTGGGATATTAAAATTCAATGTATCCAGTTTGTAGATATTTTGTAGATAAATTGTAGATTATTTGTATTCTGATTGTAGATGCATTGTTTTCTGTTTTCACAAATCCAAAACGACTAAAACTTCTACAAAATCTTCTGCAAAAAACAGTCTACAATTTATCTACAATTTCTTCGTCTTCTTCTTCTTCTTCTTCTTCTTCTTCTTCTTCTTCTTCTTCGAGTTTCAATCTGAATTTCAGTCAATACCAAGTATGTCCAGAATATTTATGAAAAACAGGAAAATTAAACAAAACTCATTTTTCCTAACTCTTTTATACATTGATATTAATTGCAGGTCAAGATGATTCTGCTATAATTATGCAGAAGAGGAAATTGGGAAAGAAGGCAAAAAGTTATGCTTATAGAATTCGTGAACATGGTATGCGTCTATTTACATCTAGTTCATTCTTTTCCTTTTTCCTTCTTTAAGAAAACAATAAAAATATTTTCCTATTTTGATGTTTTGCAGTGAAATTGGGGCCAAAGTTTTCAGAAACGGTGAAGGGGAAGTTGAAAATAGTAAAAGAAGGAGGGAGAAGGAATATATTCAGGAATATGTTTAATGTAAACAAAGGAGAGAAGCTGCTAAAAGATACAGAACAAAAAAAATGGCCCATTTTTGGTACCTTGAATTAAGGAGGGATATATGCTACATTAATTGTACTCTTAAAATACACTATGGTATAGAATTGGTAATTTGGTACACTAAATGTAATTATATCAAACCTTAAACATTGAGGGTAATAAGGTTTCCTATATGGTATACGAATGTAAAAATTCCTTTGCTTTAACAAGAAGAAAAGCCAATGGGCCTTGTGCCGTCCGGTAGCAAGTGGTAGAAATAGCGTGGGATAACCACTTTTTAGCATGGTATTTAGTTTTTATCCAGTATTTTTAATGCTGAGCAAAAATAGTCACTACTCTATTAAAATTAATACGAAAAGACATTTTTACCCTTTCTTCATGAGTGCTCTGTAAATATTAAGGATATGGTGTCCTTAACATTTACACTGCACACATGAAGTTAAGGATGCCATGTCCTTAACATTTACACTGCACATATGAAGTTAAGGACATGATGTCCTAAAGTTTATCAACGGAAGGTGAAAATACAGGACACTTTGTCCTTAATATTTACACAACATTCATGAAGTAAAGGACACCATGTCCTTAATATTTACACAACACTCATAAAGTTAAGGACATTATGTCCTTAATATTTACACTGCACACATGAAGTTAAGGATATAATGTCTTTAAATATACACTACACATACGAAATTAAGGACATGAGGTCCTAAAGTTTAACAACAGAATGTGCAATACAAGTTAAGGACATTATGTCCTTAACATTTACACTGCACACGTGAAGTTAAGGACGCCATATCCTTAACATTTACACTGCACATATAAAGTTAAGGACATGATGTCCTAATGTTTAACAACGGAAGGTGCAAATACAGGACAAAGAGTAAATATATTTTAAACAGTGACTAAAGAGTAAATATATTTTAAACAGTGACTAAAGATTAAAGACATCTCTAATTAGTGGCTAAATGTACACTTTCCCCGGTAAGTACCTAGGATATGAGCCCAAGTGCTTTCGGTGGTTTGTAGGTTTGGAGGCAAATTTTGTGACGTTTTGAGATTGTAAGCATGATCCATGGCGATGTATGCGGCAAATGAGACAATTTACAACTAGGTTCACTTGTCTTTAAAGTTACTAGTTGTCACATGCAACCATTGCAATTAACATCTTACAACTAGATTCCCGCTTGTCATTAAATTTGGTAGTTGTCTCAAGCAGCATTGCAATGAACATCTTCTATTTTAAAAAATAAAACGAAAAGACAGAAAAAAGAAATAGGGGGAGCTATAAGCCTATAACAAGGTTTATTCAAAATTGGCAATTTATCAATTTGAGCATATAATCATACTCCACGTCTACAGTAGGATTTTTCTATAAAACCTTAGTGGCCACTATGCAGAGCAGAATTAATGTCAGCTGAATTGTTAGAGCATATCCGTGCTGCAGATTTGGAAATAAACTCAGAGTTACTTCAATTTTAGTCACTCCCAGAATAGTATCCATGGCGCGTTCAAAGAAGGGATTTCCAGCATAGCATCCGCGGCATATTAAAAGAGGGAGTTTCAAGAATAATTTTCTCCTCCGCCATACAATTGGAACTCCAGAAAACAGATACCAATGCATACTCTTATCCTCAAATGATACCACATCTGCATGCATATCTTGCTACCAATAAAGTAGGTCCTCATCAAAACAATAAAGTAGGCCAAAAGTACTTAGCCTCTTTGCTTTTGAATTGTCCACCAAAAGGGGAGAAAAGTTTGTTTACACATTAAGTATGCCCCAATTTACAACAAGCAAACGGTCAATAAAACTAGCCCCGGCCCATTCACACACTAACTGGATCTAATTCTACTACTCAAAAGGGAGGTCAATGAGCTATTTGATTCCCAAAGAAGAGCAAAACATATGGTTCACCAATACCAAAATGAGTACAAACTATATAGATGAAAGGTCCTCATATATAGTCTTGATACCTGGCCTCTCAGATACAGAACGAATGCATCGAACAGCTATCCCAAGAACCTCCTTCATCTGCTTCTCCATTGCTGGATTTCCGATCTCGGCCGATAACATACTGTCAAAACAATCCGAGCCACAACTTTCTGCCACCTTCAACCTTACCCAGTCAGTTAAGTCTACTCCACCATCTTCGCCAGAGACGACATCACCTGCACACTTCCCACTTAGCAGCTCCAACAAAACAACTCCAAAAGCATATACATCTGATTTGAAGGAAGGCAGTGGCTTCTTCGACACAGCCAACTCGGGGGCACGATAACCCAACACTCCAGCATCAAGAATCTGTTCTACTGTGCCGGCTTGAGTCATGAGGCGGTGAAGGCAGTAATCCGCAACTCGTGCATTAAGGTCTGGCCCGTCCAACAAGATGTTAGTTGCTTTAAGGTTTCCGTGTGGCACCTCACGATCAAAATGGAGGTAGTTCAGACCACGTGCAACATCAACTGATATTTTGAGTCTTTGGGGCCACGTTAGTGGTGGGCCTTTTCTACCCGGTCGATCTACAAACGTGCAGCAGATTAGAGAAGTATATCGAGAATGACCACATAAATATTGAGATCTACACAAGGATTATGAAATAAGAAAAATGTATCACATTCTAGCTGATTTCCAACAAAGTGAATCATGAAACAGAGCCAAACACCACATTCTTCAGACCCATTAAGAACTGAAATATCAAGAATTTTAGCTACTGGAAATAACAAGTACCGTACTGCAAATCCCTCACAGCTTGTGTAGTGAACATCACTTACTATATATGGTATCTTACAACTTGGTGCTAAATTACGCGAACAAAAGACAGGTAAGCACATTGTATTGGGCTCTAGACGTGCTAAAATATTATCACATCAAACCAAAGACTAAATACTTGAGGTTCTTTTGTAAAATCCCGCCACTGGATCACATAGCAATGTTAAAAGTGCTCTACTATAATGCACATTGGAAAAACATATGAACCATAAGAACAGTCAGATATATCACAATCAGATTGCCTCATATGAAATATGAAATGGGAACTAAAGAAAACTGACTAGATTAAAGAAGAGGGAGACAAAGCCTCTACTGTGGATTTACAGCAAAACATTACATGAGAGTTTAGAGCTAACACATGAAGCTTACCATAGAGGAAACTTGCAAGACTTCCGGGAGATATATAATCCGAAAGAATGAGCTTCTCGTGCTGTGTGGGACCCCAGTAGTAACCTCTTAATCCTACTACATTAGGATGCCTTATATTGGCAAACTTTTTTGCCTCCTTTGCAAAATCCTTTCGCTGCTTTGCCACTCCTTCTCTCAACCATTTCACAGTCAGGAGCAACCCGTTCTCTAGTGTTGCCCTGTAAGATGTACCATGGCTGCTTCTGCCTAGGACTTCAGCCGGAGCCCTAGATAGGTCCTCGGGTGTAAAAGAGATTGTATCATCAAGGAAGTACAGCTCTCCAGCAAGACGATCTGGAGACCTCACATCTAACCTTGCAAAGTTTTCTGCAATATACGAATCTCCAGACTCTGGTGACCATGAGAAATGGCTACCTTTCGAAGGGGAGAAACCAGTTATAGCAGCCATTTTCTCATCTGGACTAATTATTTCTGATGATCCTTTTCGTGAAGTCATAAGGTCTTCAGCTGAAACGACTACACCACCTGTACCCTCCCTACTACTAAAGCCAGAAGGATGTGATGGGGCTTGGTGATGAACATCCTTTTTAGTAACTTGAGGATGAGGCTTCCTTGACGCTCGTATATAGTAAATGAAAATGGCTAGTAACACCAAAATAATAAGAGCAATTACACAAGCAACTATTATTACCACCTTGATGATACTCTTAAGTGATCTGCTTTTCTGGTTTTCTGCTGAAGCTTGGCCAGATCCTGATGGAGGATTTGGAAATTGAAGTCCAGAGTTTCCAGGATAGAAAGATGATAACGGAAATTTTCTCAAATTTTCAGGAACAACACCAGATAAGTCATTGAGTGACGCATTAAAGCTTTGGAGGCCATTACGCAGATTCTTTGGCAGTGGACCAGTAAAATGATTCTGCGAAATGTCAAGAGAAGTAAGTGCACTAACTTGACCAATCGAAGTAGGCAGAGATCCAGAGAAATTATTTGCAGCTATATCAAGTACTTGAAGAGCGGTCAACGAGCCAAACTCATCAGGAAGATAACCAGCAAGCTGATTATGAGAAAGATCAAGAACTCGGAGGTTGGGAGTAGCAGAGGGGGCAGGGAAATCAATACTTCCAACAAGTGCATTGTTTTGTAGGTGAAGTTCTTCAATAGTGGGTAATGTCAGCAGAGAAGTGAGAAGAGGCCCATCCAACTGGTTGAAACTGAGATCAAGGACTGTGATCTTAGGAAACTGTGTGATAACCTTTGGGAGAGTTCCAGTAAGGGTATTGTGAGAAAGGTTTAGGTGATTTAACCGCAGAAACTGAGCTGTAACCTCAGGAATGTTTCCAGTCAATCGGTTTTGGCTGAGGTCAAGAAATTCAACATTCCCCCATTTCTGCATTCTAGTTAGATTTCCCTCTAACTGGTTCTTTGAGAGATCAAGTACTGCAGTACTTCCTGTCACCATTGGAAGTTCACCGGAAAGAGCATTGGAGGATAAGTTAAGGACACGCAAAGTTGTTGATGTAATCATGCTTATTGACCCTGTAAAATGAAGTGGCTGCGTAAAGCACACTAACTAAATGATAGCAAATAAACTACTTTTTTTGTTGTAACTTCAGTTCAACACAAGGTTAATGAAATACTAGTACAATATTTGCAATGTATTTCAAAATGAGAGCAGTTTGGAATATACCTGTGAGGTTGTTTCCACTTAAATCCAATTCTGTGAGAACCAAAGAATCTCCTTTCAAAAGATCATTTGGGACGAACCCGGAAAATCTATTGTTGCTGAGCTTAAGGACCTGAAGATCATAAACAAAATTGAAGCCAGGTAATTCCCCCGACAGCTGATTGTAGCTCAAATCCAGAACTTTCAAGTTCCCAAATGCCTGAGCTTCACCGCCACTTACTAGTGACCCAGTAAGTTGATTATGGCTAAGACTCAAGTACTTTACCGACTCCGATATGCCCGGCAGAAATTTCTGCTGTTGAGAGGTAGAACTGACAAGTAAATTTCCACTTAAGTCAACATAAGTAGCAGTAGTAAACATTAAGAACTCTGGATCCAAAGTACCATCAAGCATATTTCCATGCAAGTCAAGAACGTCAAGGTTAGCCATTAGCTCAAATCCTTTTGGGATTTTCTTTGTAAATCCATTAAGAGATAGATTGAGGTATACCAAATTATTTAACTTGGTCAAAGATGAAGGAAGTGGCCCAGAAAGAAAGTTGTGGCTCAAATCCAAAGATTCAATTGACATGAGCTCTGAAATCGTATCGGGGATTGGGCCAGAGAAGTTGTTACCAGCTAATGACAGATTCTTTAAGCTTCCTACTTTTCCAATCTCTGGTGGTAAAGAGGAGGTGAATAGATTGTTTGAAATATCCAGATACTTAAGGCTCTTGAATTCACCAATTTTGTTTGGCATATTTCCAGCAATTGAATTGTTAGCCATAGAGAGTTTCACAAGCATTGTGAGGTTCGCAAACACACTCAAATCTGCATCAGCAGATAAACCTAAGTTATCAAGGACAACAGCTGCAACATTACCACCATTGCACATTATACCGTTCCAAGATGAAGGGCAACCGTTAAAATCAATCGACTCCTCATTCCATGACTGAAGTACATAACCCGTGGGATCATGTTTTATACCCTTCCTGAACTCAAGAAGGGTCAAAATGTCCTGAGAAGGAAGCTGCCCCATAGCAGAACCAAAACAAAGCACAAGTATCAAGCACCTAAATAGCTTCATTATAACACCAGAAGAAGCTCTGCTAAACAAAGTGACAAACTCACACCAAAAAATCAAGAAAATCTTCAAACTTCCAAGCTTAAAGAAATCCAAAAGGGGGCAGCTGTAAGTATGAGGTTCACTATAAGTAGAAGCTCAACATATGAAAACCACTTTTCACAAACTTATATCCATGCCACTAAACCTCAATAACAACCATTACAGCTCAAAAGCAGTAAAACAACAGCCAAAAAGCATCCAACTTCAACCCAAAATCACAAGAATCCTCCTTCAGCCAACAATATATGGACCAAAAACCAAATTCTGTCTAAAAACAGCAATGCAAGACAGATTCAAGAAGAGCAATTTTTCTACAAATAGTAGCTGAAAGGAGGCAATGAGTGAAAAAAACAAAGTGCAGACAGAACAAGTTCAAGCAATTTCTCACATAACAACAAACATTTTTACCAAGAATGTAAGCTTAATGACCAAAAAAGAAGCAGTCTTTTTCAAAGATTTACTGAAGAAATTCAGCTTCTTGCAATGATTACACCTTTTTGAGTTATGTTGGAACCTCAGGTTTGCTCCCACATTCACCAACTTCCCCTCTTCTTTAATGCAGTGTAAATGCACTCAAGTGGTAGCCTCGAAATGGACCAGCAAAGCGTTTAGCCCTTTAGAAATCTTGATAACATTACAAATGAAGTTCAAGAAAAGCTCCAAAACAAAAAGTGTAAAACCCTAGTGTTGTTTTTTGAGATTATATGAATGAAAGAGAAGCCTCAAACCCCCAGAAATGGCAGTGACACACTCAGCATTTGTCTTCTTCCTATTTCATGGACAAAGTTTTCTCTCTCTCTCTTACAACTCTCAACTTCTCTCTCTAAAAAGGACATTTTTGTTGGAAAACTCAATAAAGACCCCAATAATTATGTCTCGTTTTATTCTTTGGAATTTTTATTTGGATTTTCTAATACTTGAATATTCTTTTTGGAATTGTTTTAGTGAAATTAGAAATTTGGAACTAGTTTATTAACAATTTGCTAGTAACTATTTCAAAATTTGTATAATGTTTTTAAGATTTTTATATTCTTTCTTTCTCGATATGACTTTGCAATGTGTTCCTGCATTGTATTTCAGAAATAGGGTTCGAGTATCAAATTTTAAATTTTAAAAAAATTAATTTTATAACCAATTTCTCCAAGTAAACAAATACCAACAAAATATCAAGATGAGACAATTAATATATTATAGTAATTTGGAATTTAAGAAATTATATTTGTAAAACTCTTGAGTTATTATTACATACATTTTCTTTTCAAACTAAAGAGATCTAGATCGCAATAATACTATGAGAAGTAAGGACTCATATGTAAAAGTGCAATTGGTATGTTACATTGTTTGGAATCTATGCTTGAGACTTGAATAATATATTAAGTACTAATTAACATTTTTATCTTACATTCTTTTGAGATTTAAGAATTATTTATTTGTTTAAAAGTTTCAATATTTTGGAAGAAAAAAAAAAGAAAATTTGGCAAGAAAAGAGGGGGGGAAAAGGCGAAATAGCGGGAAATGAAGGGCGTTTTTGGCGTGATTTGTCAGTAAATTATGAGCTTTTACCGCGAAAAAGGCATTAGGAATCTTTTCATTCATTGTGGACGTGAAAAGGATTTATCAAATGTAGTTATTTTAAGATTGTGTTATGTCCTTTGTATTGGGAAGTGATGTGTTGTGTAGAAGCATGGGAGAGCGTAGGGGTGTTCGTCGGTCGGTACGGTACGGTATTTTGATATTTCGGTTCGGTATTTTCGGTATTCGATTTCTTAAAATCTTATACCAATACCGTACCTAATTAAATTCGGTATGGTTCGGTTTTTCTCCTTTCGGTTTCGGTTTATCCGGTTCGGTAACTTCGGTTTGAATACTAACTAGTGCATAGAGCCATAGACTCTAATATTCGTAATTAAAGTACTCAAAAATACAAAACTGAAAATGTTTGTTGCAAAAATTTTGTCCAAAACTAGCAAATATCGACCCAGATAGAGAAATTGTACATAAAAGAATATTTGATCATTAGAAATGTCTTGTTACTTGTTTAGAGTTAATTGATGAACTTAGAGAATAAAGGAAAATAAAATCTTAGACTTTTTATATTTATGTTATAATTGATAATATGTGTTATAATATATATTTCGGTACGGTATCGGTATTTCGGTATTTTATTTTAAAATACCAAATACCATACCCAATACCAATTTTTTTCAAAAACTTAAACCAAATACCGTCTACCCAAATACCAAAATTTTCGGCTTCGGTACGGTAATTCGATATTTACCAAATTATGCACAGCCCTAGGAGAGTGTGGTCTGTAGTTTGTACACATCACACTGGGGCCTACATTTTCCCTTTGACCAGGGTTTTTATATATTTTATTTATTTATCTCCTTTTATGTGTAATTTCTGCCAATATATTATATAGTCGAGCTTATTTCTTTTCCATACCATTAATATTTGTATTATTCTTATATTTTTGTTGGTTCTTAGATTTCTATTATTACCGTTATTCTTTTTGTTTCGATTAACTTATTTCCTTGTTGGTACTACTTTCTTTTTCTATGGCTTCTCTACTACTGTATTTATTTTTCGAAATTGTTGTGATTATGCTTTCCTTGACCTGAGTGTCTATCCAAAACAGTCTCTTTATCTTCACAACGTAAAGGTAAGCTATTCGTACACACTACTCTCGCAAACATTCACTTGTACTAGTGAAAGGTTTTCATACAATAAATTTAATTTCAGTTCTTACTTGTCCACTTCATTTTATCGCTTGTCTCAAATTTCTCATAGTTTGTTTGACCAAATCATACCCACGTTAAGCAACCTTTGCAAAAACCATCACTGTCCACATTATGACATTTAATTCCAAAAAATTGCATGCAATACAGGGAATTCGTTTAATGATGTTTCCGTCGTTGTCCTTTGGCAGTTGGTACGACATATCTAACTCCACTTTCGATTGTTGGCTATCAAACATTTATTTTGTAAAAAACACTTATGTCTCATCTTAATTATGGACTATGCCACGATGACACTTTATTTTGACACTATTTCTTGACTTTCTTCCTCTCATTAATTAGTCCTTAATTTGTTCGTGCTATATCTTTCCTAATATCGCTTTGAAGCTTTTATTTTCGTCTTCTCGTCACTTTTGCCCTTTAACTTTTCAGAATAGACTTTCATTCTTCTTTTTCCTTTTGCCTTTTTTGACTTAGGTGGAGGATCTTAGCAGAAACATTTGAGAGAAGGGCCTAAGAACGGCCCGTAGAACGGCCCATAGGTGGAGGATCTTAGCATAAACGTTTGCTAAGAACGGGGTAAAAATTGCACGGGGCACCCTATTTGGTCGCCCTCATTTAACCTATACCTAATTTTTTTTTAAGTTTTTGTACCCACTTTTTAAACAACTTCAGCCCCCTTTCTCCTCCTCCTTCTCTACGCAGGAGATGCATTGTGCATCCTTCGGTTCAGCGGCGTTTCTTTCGACGTTATCGTCTCAGATGTCCACATGCATGGTATGTATGGCTTTCAGTTAATGTACAAAGGTGTTTGGCGTTTGGGTTTCGAAGTTATATTTTATTTCCAACTTTGGAATAGCAGCGTAGCTTTTGCTTTTTGGCATATGTGGACTTCTAAAATAGGGAAGTAGAAGTCATTGCAGGCAGCATGTGAATTGGATTACCCAAAAGAAAAACATATTGGTGAATACTTTCAACGTTCGAATCATATGGAAAGTCAATTAAAACTTCAACTCTAAGAAGGCTGAAGTTCGCTAGTTACAAACAAAAACTTCGCCAGTTACAAACAAAAACTTCAGCTCTAGAGTGAAGTTCGCCAGTTACAAACAAAAACTTCAGCTCTAGAGCTGAAGTTCGACAGTTACAAAACAAAAACTTCAGCCAGTTACAAAACAAAAACTTCAGCTCTAGAGGTGAAGTTCGACAGTTACAAATAAAAACTTCAGCTCTAGAGCTGAAGTTCGACAGTTACAAAACAAAAACTTCAGCTCTAGAGTGAAGTTCGCCAGTTACAAACAAAAACTTCAGCTCTAGAGTGAAGTTCGCCAGTTACAAACAAAAACTTCAGCTCTAGAGCTGAAGTTCGACAGTTACAAAATAAAAACTTCAGCCAGTTACAAAACAAAAACTTCAGCTCTAGAGCTGAAGTTCGCCAGTTACAAAACAAAAACTTCAGCTCTAGAGCTGAAGTTCCCCAGTTACAAAAACAAAAACTTCAGCTCTAGAGCTGAAGTTCGCCAGTTACAAAACAAAAACTTCAGCTCTAGAGCTGAAGTTCGCCAGTTATAAAACAAAAATTTCAGCACACTTGCTACTTCAGTCCCGTATACTAGAATGCTGAAGTTTTGCGTGATTGCCTTTGCTACTTCAACCCCGTATGCTGAAGTTACGCGAAAAGTGGGTAAGCTTGCAATTTTTTTTTGCAAAGCGGGCACAAGTTAAAACGTGACCCAAAAAGCGAGTATAGAAGCAAATGCCCCAAGGGCGGGGGGTGAAAGGCCCGTAGCTCATGCGAAACTCTTTCCTTGGGCCCATGGAATCGAGAATAGAGATAGGATAACTAACGGGATTTTTACCTAGCTATACTATATTAGAAACTTATTTACCTATATTCTCTATGTTTTGAAGTTTTTAATAAGTATCTAGGTTTTTCTTACAAATTGTATATATTGCTTCTTAAAAGACTCTCACTCAATTATTAGTGCCTTCAATTAAGGGATTTAATTATATCCTCTCCTTTTTTCTCTCTCCTCTCCTCTCTCCTTTTTTTTAAACATCAAAATCCCTTAATCTACGCCCAGAATCTCCATCTTCTCTCTTTCCACCATTACCTACAAGTTTATATTATTAAAAAATATTCTAAAATTTTATGATTATTGTATGATAACTATATCATTATTGTATTTGAATTGTATCAGATACATCAATGCCTAAAACATAAATGTATCATACTTGTATCACTATTGATCTAACTTGTATCCGTTATATTAATACCCAAAATAATACCTGATACAATACAAATAAATAATATACAATTATTATACTTGCGGTACAAACTGTGAAATTCGTCACAAATGCACAACTGCTCGTAACAATATACAATTATCATACATTTGTAATACAATTCTGTCAACAATTATGATACACATACAATTATAATACAATCGCGATACATTTCTAAAAAATTATGACACAATTATGATCTTCATCTTCTTCAAGTTTCAATCACAACTCTACACTAAAAATTCAATAGAATCGTATTATAATTGTATTAGTATTGTATCGAGTATTATTTGGGGTATTGATGTATCATATACAAGTCACATACAATAAGATTTTAGAAAGAAAGAAAACAAGATTCAAAACTTAACCACAACTTGATTCTAGAGCAATATTTCGAATTTTGTCGTACTATATCAATGAGAAATAGAGATTTTGGGTGAATAGTAAGAAAGAGAGAAACTGAATTTCAAAAGTTCTGGAAGAGGAAAAGAATCTACAATTTTGGGGGATAACTTTGGGTAAGCAAGATTTTTTACTATAGGTAAGAATAATTTGGTTAATTGTTAAGAAAGAGAAAAGATGATATTGTAATCCTTTGGAAAAAGAAAGAATCTTAAATGTAGGAGCACTTCTTGAAAATGGGGGTTGATTGTCATGTAACTGATAGGCTAGATTTAAGGGATCTTGAATTTCTTCTTTTTATGGTTTTGCATATAACTAGTAAATATAGATATACAATTAATAAGGAACCTATATAAAAGTGGTAAATAAGTTTCTATTATTGTATAACTAGGTAAAAACCCCATAACTAATGCACAAAGATCATTTTAGCCCGCCAAAAC